AGTCAACTATATTTTGGAATGTTACTTCTGAGCCCAAAGTCTGTCTTGTCCTGCAAGGCTGACTGGGCTTACGTCCTGACTTCAGTTCTCTGGTCTTAACTAAGGCAGGAGGTTACCTGCATTGTTGACTTTGACTTAGCCTAGCTGTTAGGTTCTAGGACAGAATAACGTCTTCCTTTTCCATCTATTTGCCCAGGTGCCCCTATGCTTTTCCTTTGTTTCCTGAGTGAAAGGGTCCATCTTTGGTTCCATCTGTGTTTTATCCTTTCCCTATCTTTAGAAGTCACAATGCAGTTACACCTTTTTTCCTACATAATTATTTTTTTCCTGTTTTTTTCCCAGAGGAGGGAGTGGTTTCATTGCCTGGATGTATAAATATGCCTGCATCTCCCAAACCTAAAATACAAACAAATGCACACCTCTCTAAACACAGTAACTCCTCTAATTTCTGCCTAGTCTCTCTATTACCACCAAAGCAGACACCTTGAAAATCCAACCTGTATCTGCTGCTTGCTCTCGCTCCCAACACCCATCGCTTATCCACTGCAATTCGCCTCAACATCCACTGAGACTAGGCTGAGCCTCCGAATCACTACAGTTAGTGTTCTCTCATTTGCATCCTTTTCAACATCAACAACATTTGACATTACTGATTATTCCTTTCTTAAAAGACTTCTTGCTTGATTTACAAAAGGTGTCATTAGGTTGACTGTCCTTGACTCCCCCTCCCCATCTTGTCCCCTCTTTTGGCGGCAATGACTTTGGTTGTTTTTGGTCTTGGATAAGTAATAGAATTCTCGCCTTCAATGCCAGAGACCCAGGTTCAGTTCTCAGCCAAGGCACCTCAGGAAAGCCACCAACTGTCTGTCAGTGGAGGCTTGTGTGTTGCTATGATGGCCAAGCAGGTTTCAGCAGAGCTTCCAACTAAGACAGACTAGGAAGAAAGCCCTGGTGATCTGCTTCTGAAAATCCTGTGAATTGCAATGGTCTAACATGTAACCAGTTATGAAGACGGCACAGGACTGGGCAGCTTTCCATTCCACTGTGCATGAGGTTGCCATGAGTCAGGGGCTGGGTCAAGACCAATAAGACATGCTCTTTGACCATGTACATACACTGAGAATATCAGACTGGTAAAAAAGGAGTTTTGATGAAGAGATTCTTTCAGGCAGCAAGTATGGAGAAAACAATTTATATCAAGAAATAAGTGCCTTTCTAACTTCAACTCGTTTGAAACAGTTTTACCTCTTCACCTGAGATTTAAAGCCAACTACCTCCACGAATCTATATGAAAAATACTGAACAATGTAATTCCAAGGTTTAACAAATCTACAAATAACAATAGAAAAATTTTCACACCAATAGGATATATGGTTCCCCTAAGACAGAGATCTAAGATATGAAGGGAATTTAAAATTAAACAATTATGGCAACACTTTCCTTCCATGTATCCATTTAAATCTTGCCCACAGAAAAAATATCCAAAACAATTAAATGAACAATAAGAGGGTGCTACTGAAACTAGGAGGATACATACCAAAACCAAACTCATTGCCGTCGAGTCGGATCCGACTCATAGCGACCCTTCCTTGGGTTTCCGCGGCGGTATCACTACAGAAGAAGATCGCCCAATCTTCCTTCTGAGGAGTGGCTGGTGGGCTTGAACCACCAGCCTTCTGGTTAACATACATAGGTAACAATAAATATTTCATAAATGGATCACAGTTACATGTATCCACAAGATTGATAGATAATATTTCCACTTCTAATTTCCTACTATTTCACCTCCTCCACCCTGGATATATGATTTTTCTATGAATTTATAAGTATATAGGAGCTCTGGTAGCATAGTGCCTAAGGCACTTGACTGCTATCCAGAAGGCTGGCGGTTCAAACCCACCAGCCACTCCTCAGAAGGAAGGTTGGGCAATCCTACTTTCGTAGTGATACTGCCTCGGAAACCCAAGGAGGGGTCGCTATGAGTCGGGGGTGACTCGACGGCAAATAACAACAACAATAAGTATATAGATACAAATATATACTTAATAAGTAATTACACATTAAAACAAGAGTATGTTAGAGTACATTTCTAATATATTAAGAAGTCAAAGTAAGGAGAAAAAGAAGGAAAATCTTCCTTAAATGAAATAATTTCCTTTCAAATAGGGATCATTTTTTTTCCTAGAAAAAATGTACGAGACAAAGTATCCCAGCTTTTGAGAAATTAAAAAATTTACTTTGTGTACACAGTATTAATACCTGCTGAGGTTTCTCTAAATTTGTCACTGGTCTTCTTTTTCCTCCATTTCCAAGGCTTAAAGATTTTACCAATGCTGGATAGTTTCCCCTTTCTCTTGAAGGGAGGTGTTTGGGAACCTGCTGCTGGGCCATCTGAGTTTGCTATGGAAGCTTTGTCCAGTCTGTCAACTGTAGAAAGAAAAAATGATGTCAGAAAAGGGTTGTGACAAAAATTTCAAATAACATTATCTATTTCTTCCTGGGTTGTCAGTGGTAAGCAAAACCACGCCAACTGGATTTTTATATAAAATTTATTTTGTCTCACTTCCCAGCTAGGGTAAATCCAGATATCAATCAATTAATCAATTAATCAGAAACTATAGTCCCCTTAGGTATTCCTTTTTGGGAAAAACAGAAGAAGTGAGAGACTTACATATAAGGATCTAAGAAAGACAGCTAAATCCATCTACAATAACTACGTCAATATTTTATGTAGGAATAGAATATTTTAATATTTCTGAATTAGGATGTTCCCCTGGAGCCTAGTTTGGCATTTTAAGTAATAAATATTACAGTTATGCGTAGTCCACAGAGACAATGTTCTATACCTTAGTTTGGTGAACAGCCATTGGGGTCTTAAAAACTTGTGAGTGGCCAAGTAAGGTGCAAGTATTGGTCTCTTCCTCCATAGCAAATAAGAGTGAAGAAAATCAAAGACACATGGAAATAGTACAGAGGATTTAAAGGACCACGTAAACCCCAGCCTCCACAATCCTAAGGCCAAAAGAACGAGATGGTGCCTGGCTACCACTGCCAAATGCTGTGAAAGGGATCACAATAGGAGGTCATGGATAGAGTGGGAGAAAAATGTGGCACAAACCTCAAAATAATAAAAACGATTAGTATTACTGGTCTGATAGAGATTGGTGGAACCCCTGAGACAACAGCCCTTAGACACTCTTCAAGTCTTGAACCAAACTCACCCTCATGGGTCAACATTCAGCTGAACGATAGACAGATCTCTAAGGAGAACAACAACAGTAGGGAGGTTTGCACTCCTTAGAACAACCATACAGGTCTCTAAGGAGAACAACAGTAAGGAGGTTTGCACTCC